TGTGTGTGTGTGTGTGTGTGTGTCTGTCTGTCTTTAATGTAAATAGCTGTCAGGTTAAATCAGACCCAACAAAAAAATTTAATTTCAAAGTAATCCATAAAACCAGATACAAAGTGCAGAAAGAGTAGATTTAAAAAGTGTTACTAAACACACTTAAAAATTTAAAATCCGTATTCTTTTGTGAATGAAAACATTTACAATGGGAGCTTCTGTCAGATCTAGAGGGTGTTTTTTAAAATTGCAGCTCAGAGAAAACAAAGTAGCTTCACCTGGTTTAAAAAAGGTGCAGGTCTGATGAAGTCATGATGATTTAATGATGTAAGATGATTAAAATCAGATGAATGTGTTCAAAGTTCTCACACAGGAAAACAGGCTGCTTTTCTTCATTCAAAGTGTAAAATGAATGTTTTCATAAAGGAAATAATAGTTTATTTAACAAATACCATGATCTTTGTGTGTTTTTTTTCTACATAAATCTAAAAATTTTGATTCATAAATTAATAAAATATAGGTAAAAAGAATCCGCTTTGCTTTATCTGCCTCCAAAAAGTACAAAGTTTGAGCTCAGAATAAAAAAAAATAAAATCAACTTTTAGTTGGTTTTAAATGTTTAAATCTTAGACTTCTTTAACTATATTTTTATCTGTCAGGATCTGTGTTTTTGTCTCTCACAAATCCCGTGTTTAATTTTACTTGCTTGTGTTTTCATCTTTTCATTTGTGCCATCATTTCATCAACCCTCAGTTAATTTCACTCCTTTTTTTCCTGCTTCTGTCACCAGTGTGCAGTCAGGTGTCTCCTTCATGTACCTCTGCTCTGCAGATGCAGACTCTTGCTGCGTTGTTGGCTGTACGAACCGTCCGGTTTGCTCCTCGTGTGATCTCTGCTGTGACTTTTGTTTTCATTTCATAAGAACGTATTTGGTTAAAACACCAGTTTCCCCTCTCAGACTCTGTCAGGGTTTGTATCGGTGGGTTTTCTGAATTTGCAGTTTGTTGTGACCTGAGATTAGATGTTTTTTTTTTTTCAGTTGTAGTTTTGCTGTCACTAAAACTCTGCAGGACTAAAGATTCAGTGATTTTGCGGCGTATTAGTTGTTCAGATGGTTGCCCTGTCATTAAAGAGACTCTGCGGTTCCTGATTTAAGTTTTTCAGTGTTTCTGTGGTGCTGGTTCTCAGACGTCCCCTGAAATCAGTTCTGAATCTCCTTCAACGTTAACAATAATAAGATTTGTCTGACTGTATGAATTATGAGGATGTGTGTGACAGAGCAGGTGTTACTGTGTCAAAGCCCTCACACACTCAGCACAAGATCATCAAGTAAAAATCCAGCAGAAATGCTTTTATTAAGGTTAGAATATTTACAGCTTTTGATATAAAATATTTGAGTCTTTTCTTGGTTTGTTGGTGATGGGGCAGTTTGTGCATGTTGTCCCTGAGGGGGCAAAACAACACAAAAAAAGCAGCTTTTTTAGTTTCAGTTTTAATGCTGACAAATGTAAATATGTTAGGTGCTTCCCTCAGTGTCTGCAGGTCAGTGACGACAGAGATGTTACAATAAGTCACGCAAACTCTAACGTAGAGCAGAAGTTATGGGCAACGTGTGTGTGTGTGTGTGTGTGTGTGTGTGTGTGTGTTATCAGGGAGGGGAAGCCCAGATGAAGCAGACTGAGAGGATGATGGGTTCCAGCAGAGAGGGAGGAGATGACTCTTTGTTTCCACCAACACCACCTAAAACCAGGAAAGTCAAGTTTGAGTGGGACGCTCCGTCCCCCCACACACACCCCGCCCTTGACGTCTAATCCCAGGACTGGCAGGTAAAACTGGGCGTGACTCCTGAATTTCACAAGTTTCTTTTAGGTTTAATGAAGTGAAGCTTTTCCAAAGGCAACAAAGCTGACGCAAACAAACAAATAAATAAATCTACATACTTTTAATTTCAGTCTGAGCTCAATAAAATGACATAATCAGTTATTTTCCATGTGGTTGAAGCTCCTGCAGATGAAAACAAAAACTTTAATCTTAGAAAGTAAATAAAAAAAATTAAGAAATGCTGAAACAAAATCACTGAGCTGGTTAAAACTATCTCAGTGAACCATCTGTCACATCTTTGCTCTCAGGATAAAAACACACTCAAACACACACCTGGTCTCAGTTTTTACCTCAGACCAGGTCAAGACTTTTGGTATTTAGATCATGCAAGCAGCATAAACAGAGAGTTTTATTTTGAAATAAACCAGGAGGTTAATTTTCATTTTTCAGCTGCAGTCGACTCGTTTAAGAAGTTCTTGTTTTAATCAACACCTCTGATTTGATCTGATTTGATTTATTGATTTAACAGGAAAAGATTATTAAAAATAAAACNGTGTGTACGTACACACACTGATCTCATATCTGAGGTGTCCACACTCACATTACTTTAAAAACTGAGCAAAAAGTGTGAACATGTTTCAAAAGCGGTCAAACAGAGAGCCGTGCTTCTGTTGATTTAATAAAACACAACAGAATTCAAACTGTCTGACTTTGTGTCCCACACAAGTTAAAAAAAAACTAAACGTGTTTTATTAAGTCTGCGTATCGGCACAGAACAAACGATGGATGTGGCGTTCATAAAACAATTCTTTATTCTTGTCATTATTTTTGGGGGAAACAAAGATTTAAAAGGGATTTTATTAAATGAACAAACATTTCAGTGAAACAGCTGACCGGAGACACGCACACTCCAGATTTGTGAGTTTGGTGTGTATGTGAGTGATTCTTTTTTTATTTATTTATTTTTTATCAAAAATGAACAAATACCAAAAACATACAACAGATACATATCTCAGTAAATATTCTACCAAAACAGATAAACTACAGATTCTAATGTTTGCAGGTTCAGAAACTGAAATGACTCGCACATTATTTTACACTTTTCTGATGGAAAGTTTCAAAAATAAAAGCCTTTTTTCTTTTTACACACAAAACATTCAGAACAGAAACCTGTTAGTTCAGAATCTCAGTGCTGAAATCTGATCAGTTTGAATACTTTTGAATAATTCTGCAGCTTGTTTTTCTGAGGCAAACTTTGCTGTTTTTCAGTTCAGCAGTCATTTAGTGTTTGTGATATTCTATATGCTGAATACACAATAACAACAACAACAACAACAACAACAACAACAAAGCAAAAATAAACATTACTCTCAGATCATGTACAGGTTATTCTACTTTCACTCAATGACATTGAATAAAAGAAACTTTAACCAATAATTTCATAAAAGCAGTTTCTGATTAGTTTTTTCTGTGTTTTGATCAAGAACTGACCTGAAAACATGAACGTGAATGAAGGGAAACTTCTCAGCTTCCTTTTTTATTCAAATGTATTTAAAGGCTGCCAAACAGAAGAAACCAATGTTGTTGTTGTTGCTGTTTTTTTTTTTCGTGTGTATGTATGTTTGTGTGTGTGTGTGTGTGTGTGTGTGTGTGTGTGTGTG